AATTTGGGAGAATCTTCTCCGTTAGTTTTGGGTTCTCTACTCGTTTGGTTTAGGGTTTGTAATTTGTGGGATTTGGATTGTGAGAGTTTAAACACTATTTTGTAATCTCCGTTTGTTTAGTGAAATTTCTTGTCATGCTTCGCTCGTGGACTTAGATTTTACACCGAACCACATAAATCTCTTGTGTTAGTTTGAGATTGTTTGTTTTAGTTTTCACCTACAACGTTGATATCGGTACTTTGCTATAATTTGCTTTCCTTTGCTCATAAAAGTACGACAAGTGGTATCAGAGCCCAGCTTTCGGCTTGGGCTTTTCTTGGCAATCAATATGAAGCCTTCTGTGTCGTCGGTGAAAGTTGATATTGAAAAGTTCGATGGCAATGACTTTGGTATTTGGCAATTGAAGATGCGTGCTTTGTTAATTCAACAAGAGCTTTTAAAAACGCTAAAGGGTGTGAAGGCTTTCCTGAATTCGTGGACTGATGAAGAAAAACAAAGAAGTTATGGAGCGGGCACTTGGAACAATCCTGCTGACTTTATCGAATGAAGTCTTGCGTCAAGTTGGTAGCATCAAATCTGCACCGAAGTTGTGGCTAAAATTGGAGAGTTTGTATATGACCAAATCCCTTGCTAAATGGTTGTATTTGAAGAAAAGTTTGCGTACTCTTCGTATGGATGAAGGTACGTCAATTCATAAGACCAAATCCTTATTGCTGCCAAAAGTCCTCAACAGTTCCAAGGGAGATGGGTAAGAGTTCGTAATAGTGAGAGATTGAATCTTTTCACACTTGGCCAAATTTTAATTTTAATTAGATGAAACAATGAATCTTGAACAAAGCAAAACAAAATTTAATACTGAAAGATTGAGTCATTGAAGTGGACGTGGATGTTGGGTACTTAACAGTCCAAGAATGAAAACTCTCATATCAGTTTTTATCCAAAATTTTGGAATTATGTGAGTATTGCAACGATTGTCCGAATGATTATTCTTCTTTTATTAAATTTCCATGGAAAATGAGCATGGGGCACAAAAGTTGAACGAATGAAATTTCAATGATCTGCAAAGGGATTGTGAGTTTGACATGCCATTTTTCTTCCTTTTATGCAATCATGTTTATTAAAAGACAAAAATAAATATGACTTTACATAAGCAGAGAGAAAGAGTATTTTTCTTTGAAAAAATCAACTATTTATTGAAGAGGATGTGGATGTTGATTGATGCGCCGTGTGAATAGGAAAAAAATGACCTTGAAGGGAGACAAGACATTCATTAGAAGCTAAAAAAAAGTTATAGTGATTTAGAAAAAAGAAATTTTAACGAAATATTTCCGGTATTGTTCACTCTTTACGAAAAACCACATTTTTACATTTCCTGGCTACTATTCACTACACCTTTATTTATCATTTTTCATTAAAACTAAATTTGTTTTTGAACTTTTCGTTAGTTTCCTTTAGAAAAAAGCAAGAAAGCCTCATTTTCAAAGTGGTAGTCATTGAAACAATACTTGATTAGAAGAAAAGTCATAGTATTGTATTTACAATCTCAAGTCTTGAGGGGTAACGAGAGTGCAAGTTTCTAATTGGAATATAATATGAAATTTCTACATAACAATATATGACAAAGAAAGAAGTCTAAGTTTCTAAGTGGAAGGGCTTCCAATTGATGTGAGTTTGTTGAGAAATGAAGATGAAGATGAATATTGTTGTTGATGTGAGTTAGTGAACAACAGAACAAGTTGCTTCTCCTTTGGCCTCTAACATGATATTACCGGAAAACAAGTTGTTACTAGTAAATGTAACTGACTGGTGAACTAAGACATGCGGTACGATTTTTGATAACTAGAGAAGATGAATAGTGTCGTGACAAAATTTATCCAAGTAGACCCAAGGGAAAGACTTAGGAACTTCATATGCAGTGGGATAAAATCTTAAGCTAATTTCCTTTTTAATCTTATAGTCATTATGTAAAATGTATATGCATATTTCTAGATACATACACACCAATGTACATAATATTAACTCCTTTTAAGTAGTCATTTGCAAATCCCTCTTGAGTGCTCTTTGGAATGCTCATGCGGTGCCGTTCTAATCTCTTATATATAACTTTTTGTGATCTGTTTTTTCATCAATATGCCAAAATCCCTTTAGAATTTGCAACTTATCTTTTTGGTTACGGTAAAAAAAAACTCGGAATTTCATTTAAACTCGAAAATCTAGGGATGTGAAAGCAATTTTCTCTTGTTCGACAACATTTAGCGAGAGCAAAGGCAAATTGTACAGGAAAAAGTTAGAAATTGGGGATGAAGATTCCCAATTTTAATTTCGTCTAAATAAGTGTAATTTCACAATTCTAACTACGATGAGAATCACAAATATATTGCAGGGAAATCTTGCAACAGCCAAACTTTACGATTAGGGTGCCAAATTTCGTGATAAAACCTAATAAGGGTTTAGGGCTGCATTGTTCACTCTGTTAACTCTCCAAATCTTCGACGGATTTTCGGCTCGTGCATCATCTTCTTGCTTTGTTCTAGGTCAACGCCTCTACTCTCTTCTTTCTTGAATTATTTTAGCTTTTTAGGTAGGCTCTTTATGGCTGTTGTGAATTTTGCTAGTTATTTTTATTTTCTGATAGTCATTTGTTTGTTGTGCGTTTTTCCTTCCAATTGAATTGTGTATTGGTTGGATCTGTAACATTTATTTTTTATTTTATTTTATGGATTTTGGTGTTAGTTCTTTGTCATGGATGTTGTCCCTTTGAAGGTTAACAATAGCCAAGACTAAACATGATGATATTGTTAATTACTTTCTCATGATACTAATGCCATATTGTTCTCTCTTTTGCACTTACAAGTGAAGAGAAATATCCTAGACCCTAACTGGATATGTTATTGTCATGGTCATGCATTGGTATGGTAACAATATGTTTGGATAAGGAAAATAAACTTAGAATTTGACAAAAGATAGAATTTATAAATTGATACAATCAATTCCTTTGTTTAGATTCATAAACATAGAAATTTAAACTTTCCGTGTGAGAAAAAACTTGGAATTTGGGACCTTCAATTCTCATGTTTAAATTTTATGTAAATAGGTGTCATTTCTAAATTTCAGCAAGTGAGAATTTAAAAATAACAAACATGTATTCAAATTTCATTCCTCTTTTAGGTTAACCAAACAAGAAATTTTATAAATTCTAGAAAATAAAATTTCGTTATTTCAATTTCTGTTATTTTAAAATTAGTAATCTTAAATTTTCCCATCCAAACAAAGAGTTTCCTTGTCATAGAACTTTCAATTGGGATCAAGGAAGACAATCTTTTCACAACTGATTATTCTCACCAAATTTTATTATTATTTTAAAGCAGATCAATACCAAACTTCAAAAGCAAAGTAGGAAGGCTAAAATTAAGGTGAAGAACCTACTTCCACTAATTACCATGGGAGGGGGAGAGAGAGAGAGAGAGAGAGAGAGAGAGAGAGAGAGAGAGAACCAAGCGAGAGAGAAGAGAGAGAAAACACCAAGTAGTATTATAATATAGGTGGGGTTAAATCACCTTTCGTGAAGTTGCGGTAAGAGCAGCTCCAGCGGGAGGTCCAGCTTGATGGACCGGTGAGATTTCCTACCCAATAGCCCCAGCTCCTTGCTCCAGCCCATGCGGGCGATTGGGCTGAGGGGGTGCCCGAGTGAGAGGCCTGACTCGAATCGGTAGCCTGAGAGCTTGAGGCCAAATGATGCATGGACGTCAGCCACGTTATAAGAAGGAAGCATAAACTATGAATAATGATAGAGATTTAGATTTTGGTGTGTGATTTCATCGGATGGATGGTGGGTTATATGGAGGAAAAAAAAAAGATTAGGTTGTAGATAATGCCACGTGGCATGCCGTCATTCGTTAAAAATCTGATCGAAATCTATCATCAAAGATTTTAAACAGATTATGACACGTGACGCAACGTGATTGGTTAAAAATCTTATCAGAAATCTATCCTTAACGATTCTGAAAAGGTAACGAGATGGGGCACGACGGCATTGGATAAAAATCTTATCGAAATCTATCACCAAAAATTATCTTTTTGGATAATGACACGTGGTGCAACGAGAACGATTAAAAATCTTATCCGAAATTACAAATAGAATTATTTTGTATTATTTTATAAAATAAAAATACTAATATTTTATTGCCTATTGACATGACTATTCAATTATGGGTGTGGAGATGCAGAAGATAATTATTATTAATTAAAGGTAATTATTGTTCATTGGAGGGGATTGAATATGAAGTTGCAGTAGAAGGCCTTTGTCACAGCAATAGGCAGTTACTGTTCTAAGGACTTCTATCCTAGAACAGAGACAAAAACACCAAGTAGTATTATAATATAGGTGGGGTTAAATCACCTTCCGTGAAGTTGCTGTATGGACTTCTATCCTAGAGAAAAGTCGGTCAATGGTGTTTGACACAGTCAGTCAACGACAAAGACAGAATTGTGTAACCATAATTCTCTCTCTATCTCTTTTTCATTAACGGAGGACAGTGTATAATTACTACGTATATATCTCTGCTCAATTATTGAAAAGAAAAATCCATGTGCATTATTTTTATTATTATTATCTCAGAAATGCAGAAATTGATTATCTCTTCCTTCTGCATATTGATACTGGTTTTCTTCAAACTAGTTGAAGCAAGCCAATATGTGTGCGCGAAATCCAACTGTAGCAATGATCAAGGCCCGGCTAATTTCCTTAGGAGGGAGAGAGAGAGAGGGGAGAGAGAACCAAGTGAGCGAGCAGAGAGAGAAAACACCAAGTAGTATTCTAATGTTGGTGGGGTTAAGTCACCTTCCATGAAGTTGCAGTAAGGACTTCTATCCCAGAGAAAAGTCAGTAAATGATGTTGACACAGTCCGTCAACGACAAAGACAGAATTGTGTAACCATAATTCTCTCTCTATCTCTTTTTCATTAACGGAGGACAGTGTATAATTACTACGTATATATCTCTGCTCAATTATTGAAAAGAAAAATCCATGTGCATTATTTTTATTATTATTATCTCAGAAATGCAGAAATTGATCATCTCTTCCTTCTGCATATTGATACTGGTTTTCTTCAAACTAGTTGAAGCAAGCCAATATGTGTGCGCGAAATCCAACTGTAGCAATGATCAAGGCCCGGCTATCCATTTCCCATTGAACATCAGGCGCACACATCATTGTGGAAATTCTGGGCTTGAATGCAATGGGAGATATGAGCAGCAAATACTAATAAAATTATTTGTCAAAGACACAGATTACAAGCGTCAGGAAATCCAAGTCTATTCCCCAAGTAACTGCCTGCTGCTAAAGCTTGTTGAAATCCCAAACATGCCACCCTCTCCCTTCGTGCCAGTAGTCGATTACATGATTAATTTCATAAACGTTACCTTATTCAGTTGTCCTACTTCTGTTGCAATACGAGATACGTATGGTTGTCAAGTCCCCTGCCTTGGCGACCGTGGCAAGAGAACTTATGCCATTGATTCTGGGGTTTATTTTGAAACTCTCTTCCAGAATCTAGAATCCTGTACAAAAATGTATGATGTTTTATCAGTTCCAATAGCCGATGAATATTATGTTTTTCGTTTCAAATGGTCTATACCAAATTGCAGAAAATGTGGAGAGGGAAAGAAGTGTGAATGGCAGAACAATGAAATTAAATGTCTTCCCTGGAGGAAACCAAGTAAGGATAACATATGTATTCATTGCTAGTTTTAAACATCTTTACATTTATGTCTTAGTAATTATTATTTGAAGGATGTTGTCCAATCCATTTTTACTAGGAATATTACCTGACAGTCTCGTTTAAATTCGCAATGATCTTCTACAGGCAACACATGGAAAAAAGTGGTTACAGGTGGAATCCTGTGTGCTTTGCTTCTTGTTCTACTGACGATTGCAGCATATCGGGTATATAGCGCTGATAGAAAGGAGAAAGAGAGTCGATTAAGAATTGAAAGATTCTTGGAGGACTACAAAGCACTCAAACCAAGCAGGTATTCGTACGCAGATATTAAGAGGATTACAAATCAATTCAAGGACAAGTTGGGCGAAGGAGCCTATGGAACTGTCTTCAAAGGAATGCTCTCTTCTGAATTCTTCATTGCTGTCAAAGTCCTCAACAGTTCCAAGGGAGATGGGGAAGAGTTCGTAAATGAAGTGCGAACGATGGGTCATATCCACCACGTAAACGTGGCTCGCTTGGTTGGATTTTGTGCTGATGGATTTGTACGAGCTCTTGTTTACGAGTTCTTCCCCAATGGTTCCCTGCAGGATTTCATTTCATCTGCAGATAGTAAGAATTCATTTCTTGGTTGGGATAAGCTACAAGATATTGCCCTAGGCATAGCCAAAGGAATTGAATATCTTCACCAGGGATGCGATCTACGAATCCTGCATTTCGACATCAAACCCCATAATGTTTTGCTAGACCAAAACTTCACTCCAAAAATTTCTGATTTTGGTTTGGCCAAGTTATGTTCCAAGGATCAAAGCTTGGTGTCCATGACTACAGCAAGGGGGACCATGGGCTACATTGCACCTGAAGTGTTCTCCAGGAATTTCGGAAATGTGTCGTACAAGGCAGATGTTTATAGCTTTGGAATGCTACTGCTTGAGATGGTAGGAGGAAGGAAGAATATTGGTTCAATTACGGATAACACTACAAATGAAATTTACTATCCACAGTGGATTTATAATCTTCTAGAGGAAGGGGATGACCTACGAATCCACATTGGGGAAGAAGGAGATGGTAAAATTCCAAAGAAACTTGCAATTATAGGGCTATGGTGTATCCAGTGGCACCCGTCGGATCGTCCTTCCATGAAAATAGTGGTTCAGATGTTAGAAGGAGGAGGAGAAAGCTTGAGTATGCCGCCTAATCCCTTTGTGCCTACTGGTTCTACAACTAGGAATGCAAGACACCTAGAGCTAGAAGCTATTGCTGAATTAGAGTAAAATGTATATGCAGATATGTAGACGTATAGATATAGTAATATTTATATTGAATAAGAGGCCGTTTGATAACCATTTCGTTTTCAGCTTTTAATTTTTATTTTTCACTTTTTTGAAAACTAAAAACTAAAATCTTGTTTGGTAAATACTTTTAGTTAAAAAAAAATGAAGACTGAGAACTAAAATGTGAAAGCTCAAAGGAAGTAGATTAAAAGTAGTTACCAAACAAACCGGAATCTCAATAAATAAAAAAGATTGAATTGCACAATGCAATCCAAACCAATCAAAACATTTAAAATAGCAAAAAAAAATTAAAATTCTAGTTGATTAGATTCTAAACATAGTAAAAATGAACAGATCCGATGAAAAAAACAAAAAATTCTCAGATAAAAATAGGGATAAAGTAAAATATTTATAAATAGCTCTTTGTCTCTTATGCCATCAATTATTTCTATAGTATATACACGTTTTTGGAAAAATTAGGTTCCCATCCCTTATTTTCATATTACATTGATTGAAATCTTATTATTTTTCTATTTTAGATCAAGGTCCCTTGACTTATTCTATGTCATCATTTTAGTATTTAAAATATTACACGTTATCATAAACGAAATCTCATCCCTTTCTGCATTTAAGGCAAAATAAACTATATGAGTAAGTTTAAAACAAGGAAAATCCATTTGAACTCCTCCATTCTTCTTCTTCTCTTATAAACATCTGGAATCTACAACACCCCAAACCCAATTTTCTCCATTTTTTCTCCTTTCCTGAATTGATCCAATGCATATATGTTGAATAAACCTATTGTGATTAAAATACAAATTAGCATCAATGGTTTTATTGGCTTGTGAGATTTGTGTGGCATAGGCAAGGCAATGCAGGCATCGTTTTCTCAAGGAATCTGGTTGATTCAAACATGCAGAGACTGTAGAGTGAGTGGGCTATGTGAAAACTGTACCATTCTGAAGTCATTTTCTTTTGTTCTTTATATTTTTTTTTCTTTTTCTTTTATTATTATATATTAGTCTTGGTTATTCAATGCCTGGTTGGCTACACTTATATCCATGGGTACATTTTTAATCTACATGTTTCGTTCTAATATATCTATTGCTATAATATGTTTTGGTTGGTTCAAATTTGTTTTACATAAATATATGGGTACAAAGTTTTTGGAGAATATTATGTAAATGGTTTTTAAGGTTGCTGCATTTTACGTACCCACATATGCATGTCTATAAAACAATGTGGTATGATGTACATTCTTTTCTTTGAGTTTTTAAATGTACCCATGAGTTTTTTTGTAAATTCGGTATGTACCCATATGCTATTTATGTTATGGGTACATACATTATTTTTGGTCTAAGTTCAGGGTACATTGCTTTTGTATGTATGAATTCAAGGGGTACATTATTTCCCTTAATACTACTCAATAAAATTCACAAAATATGTGTAGTGTGCATGATTTTTTATTGTAGAAATTGTTTTTTTTTAAGTCTCATAATTCATGAAATTTGTACATATATGATCCCATAAATTTTTTAATTTTATTAAATTTCTTTTAGACTTGATCGATTGATTGAATCTCATCATACTAGGATTTTGAATTACATAAATTCTTGGATTTAAATCCCTTAAATGTTGGACTGCAATCAATATTTTAAATTATAGTTTTTTATTTAAGATATCAAAAAGATGACATGGAAATATAGTAATACTAAAATGCTGAGGTGTACAAAGTCAAAGGACTTTGATCAAAAAATAAAAAACAATAAGATTTCAATCTAACAATTAAATTGACTAGGGACCGGAACCAAAATGACCCTAGATTTTTATTGAGTTTAATCTTAATCAAAAAAAGACTTCTTGTATCACAGAAAATACAAGAACCATTATTTGAATGAAATAAAAGCTATGGGATGGAGATATAAATGGATCATTTTATTCACAATCGGATTATATTTATTTGATACACTATTGTCAATATGAATGTTGAGAAAAAGACTACAAAAGAAAAAACAATTTATAAATATAACTAACAATTCCAATTTCAATCAATTAGACAATTAGATAATACATCAGTAAACGCGGGGTGACTCAGTGGTTAGAAACGAATTTTAGGCTCGTATTCTATACAATACGTCTTGGGTTCGATTCCTGACAATGGTGAATCACGCGACGGTAGATATAGGGGTGTTGTTGGAAGTTTTGAGACTCAAGTCCTTTATATAGATTTAGTGCTTTAGTTTAGTAATTAGAATATGGGTCATTTGGAAATGGATTGAAGGTTTGGGCCTTATGGTTGTGTGGATTAGGCTTGTATAATATAGCCTAAATACAATTAATATTAATTAATCAAGACAAGGGCCTTGGGCCTTACTTGGGGCCTTGGAATTTAAAATTAATCTGATTCATTAATTTTAATTTTCGGATTAAGTTTTTAATTAATTTATTATTAATTAAAAACGTTTTGATTAAAAGACACAGCTCTTAGAAAAGAGTTATGAACCTTCAAATACACTGAACTGGTATTTGAAAGGGTGTGAAACAACCTATATATCTGCAATCCATGGTATCCAAATAAATCATCTTTTCTTCTTCCTTTTCTTCCGTACAAACTTTCCAGAGAGAGTAAACACACAAAGCAATTCGCTAGAATTCTATAATTTAGTGCGGGTTATAGGATTAGGTAGTTGTATCCTGGTCGAGCAGACGTTATAGAACCACAAGCACAAGAGTGGGACGGAATTACTGTTCGAATGACATAGCTTTTACGTTAGCCTCTACCTTCTGTAATCAAGTTAGTACCGTTGACATTCTTATATTAATTTCTGTATTTATTGTATACTTTTCATTTTGTATAGCAAGTACCTTTTGTTAAATAAAAATTGTGAATTTCAAGTTCTGTTTATTTCTGTTATTCTGTTTATTTCTGAATTGTTCTCCAACACCCCTATATCTACCGTCGCGTGATTCACCATTGTCAGGAATCGAACCCAAGACGTGTTGTATAGAATACGAGCCTAAAATTTATTTCTAACCACTGAGTCACCCCGCGTTTGATTATATTTCACTTAGACTTATCTTGCGGTATAGCATGTCATCCCCGCCCAAGTTTTTCTGTTGGCATTGAGTTTGGGATACCAAAACTTGCCAAACAAAGTAGATTGATTAGTAAGCGAAGCTAATTATTCGACTAAACATTGTTTAGAATTTTAATTAAAAGAAACAATATGAATCTGTTTATTTTTTTTTTTGACAAACTATAACGTTAAGGAGTTAAATTGTTAGTTATTAAGAGTACAATGATAGGTGAGGATCGAACCTCCACCAGAGTGCATAGACATTATTGGTTCTACAACTGCGGTAAATCACATAAAACAAAACGTAATACTTTGAGGATGGAAGACACTTCGTGGATAGCGGGCAATCAACACTATCAGTTGCTATCCAAAACTTGGAATTATGTTTATTGTCCGAAGGATTTTTCTTCCATTAAATTGCTAAGGAAGATGAGGATGGGTGGAGTGTCTAAATGTCAAGGTTGACAAGAACGTGTATGGTGTTCAGCTTGCGATTGAGATTTGTTAGAGTGGCACAACAAACCACATAAAATTTTCTAAATGATAAGCTTGAGTATAATTTTTTATCACGTATTTATCTTTAAAATCATTATAATTAGATTTTCTCTTAATTAATATAGACCGTTAGATTCATCTAATGACCCAAGTTTTTTTCCTCTTTTCTTTCCACTCTTTTCCATTCACCGTGTAGCAGTCGTTCTTCCCCAACTACGTTTCTTATTTTTCTTCACAAAAAATTTGTAGAAAATATTAAGAAAAGAAAAGTCATCAATATCAGACTCGACCAGGTAATCGTTCCAACCTTCCCAGCAACTCTCAGTCTTAACTAGGCACCAAATTTTCTCCGCCACCTAACTCGTCATTCATTCATGGGTGTTTCAAGCTTGGTGAAAATTGATAGAGTTCCATGTGTGTACACGGATGTGAACATATTGGCCACTCTCTAAGAATGAGTCATTGGAAAAGTTGAAGGAAAGATGTAACCGATGAAATTAATGGATTGGAATTACAATGAAGTCTGTGTTGGTTTATCACAAAGAACCCAGATACAAAATTTTAAAAGCAAACAATTTCAACTTCTCAAATATTATCTAACAAACTTTCAATGAAATGTTGCTCATAATTGAAAAAAGGTTGACGAAGGACGGAGTTGGGGTTATTTTAGATGAGGAAGAGTTAAAAGAAGGAAGCACCATTTAATTAATAAAAGTGATTGGAGAAATGGTAATTCAATGGTGGGCGTTTTTAAGGTGTGGACCTTGTATCACACCCTGATCCCAACATACATTGAGGATCGACACGTGACATGGGGACATAGGGGACAAAAATCTTACATAAGATACAGAATGAAATACTATATAATATCCCAAAATGAATATGATAGTGGGTTCACCCCTATAAAATACATACGAGTTTGTACATTCACAAAAAAATAAAAAAAATAAAAATAAATAAAAATAAAAAACACACACACAACTCTCGCTAGGCCAAGACTTGCCCATGGTGCTCAAAGGAAAGTCCCAAAAGAAATAGTACAATGAAGGATAAAGGGGTAACCTAAACACTCCAAGTCTCTGATCTCTGCACTGCTACCCCCACCGGCTCCTCGTAATCTACTCAGACCTGTCACATGTACAAACAGTGCCTACATTGTGGGAATGGTGCACCAGGCAAACAAAAACCCGGATAAGCTGCAAAACTCGTGTGAGTGACAATAATGCAACGTATGTGATAATCAAGAAAAACAGACCATCGATCACAGTTTATAAATCTCAAATATAACTTCATACTTATGAAATCATAATCAAGTCACTGAAAACTTCGAATGAGTCACCCAGACATCTAACGACTTTTCTAAATCAAATCTCAGAGATTCCCAAAACTATCGTTCACAAATACACTAAAAACTAGGGCTAGAGTGACACAGTTCAGCCAAAGCCTACATAAGTAACCAAATAAGAAGTGGCCCCCCATAGCGGATTAACCAAGCAGAGC